TGAGAGTTGTTTGCATTATAAGCTCTGCAAGATCAGAATTCGCTGAAATATTGCACGGTGAATTCTCATCTGGATCAATAGGGATTTTGAAGCGTGAGTATGCCGCACAACCTCCATCAAGTAATAGGGCAGCAATTCCGGAAGAAGCAACTGCTAATGCAATATTTCTATTTGCTCTAACATTTGCAAGAAGAATGTTGTAAAGGAAGGTCTTGCCAATTCCTGCGGGTCCGTCTATAAAAAAACATGCAGAATTGTGATTTTCAATTGCTTGCATTATTTCATCGAAGATGGCACGTTGGTCGAAATTTAAACAGCGTATATTCTGTTCAACGAAATCTGTAAGAGTTGTTATATCATAGTTCAACTCGTCATTTAATAGGGTGTTCCTGAATTCATGAACAGATTCTGGACAAGGCATATTTGGAAAATCTTTTAGTGATTTATTCTGCTTTAAAAGAATGGTTTCTAATCGATTTAATGCATCATTTTCAATTTCAGATTGAGTTAGTTGTAGCTCAGGATTGTGAGATTGCTGACGCACACTAAACAGAATATCATCAGTAAGAGCTACAATATGTTTTGCCCACAGTTTCTCTGCCTCATTAGGCTGGCAGTTTATTAAAATAACCACGAATAAATGACGAAGCTGATGACCTGAATGTATTTGAGCAGCTTCTTCTAGGCAACGATCCCATTCAAGGTCATCTTGTAATAGCCCTAGTGCTCGACAGGCATTTTTGAAGGTTTCATGCATAAAACCATTCACAGTTTTTAGATGATCGAATGATTATGCTCCACGTACGACACTCAATAATAGTCGCAAATAAAATCGCTCTCCTGCTTGGGGATGTATGAAGTACATGTGACCGATCCAATTGCCTCAAGCTCGTGGCTGCCATTTTTTGTTTTTTTATTAAAAACAAACGCCTGCGGAAATTGTGCGTATGTATATCTACTTGCTAATGCAGTGAGTGGTGGGTTGTGGTTAGCTTTAAACTATGCCATTAAAGTTAATAAAAATTTGGATTAACATCAAATTTAGTATGCTTAGGGCAGTGTCATTTATCACCTGATTTTTTTTTATCAGAAGCTTACTCCCCTTCCTCCCTCTTATTATATATTTTGATACGG